TGTACACTACCTTTGTGAGTTTTCTGGTTTTAGGGGATTTTTTTTCAGCTGAGTTAGTGAACTTAATTGCACTTAGTGAATTTTTATGCATTGAATATCTGTATTGAATACATTGTATGTATGTATGTAAAGGGAACAATGTCGTTCTAGATACTTGAAAATTAATTCTTGACAACATTATGTACCTTTAAAAAAAAACAAACTACCAAACAGCACAAACACAAAATCCCCAAAACAGTAGATGCACTGTGGAAATTGATTTAAAGGGACTTAAAGGTCCCTTGAACCTGCTCCCCTCACACCACTCAGTTCCTCCCTTCCAGTGGAGAGAGGTGAGAAGAAGGGAAAAGAAATATTTCCTCTGGGTTGAATGATAAGAATCCTACATTTTATTAGCAGATGTAAAATTCAGACAGGTTGATATTGTATCAATATATCTTCTAAATATCACCATTTTAAAAGCAAAATGGCTTTTTTTTCAGTTGTCCCTTGCAGTTCACTATGGATACACATGTGTAGATAATACTTGCCCCCCACCCCTGAGCAGCACTATAATTGCTGGCCAGAATGCTGTTTAACCAGAACAATTTTCGTAAAAGGCTCAGTAAGAGACCTCTGGAATGAAGGCTGATTAATTTTCCCCTTCCCCCAAGTAGTTGCACTGTGATGTCTTTAAGTGGTTGCTATAAATAAATCACTTCTGTTTTCCCTTTGTCACTGAGAGCTGTATTGTATTCTGGAACTGCTCATCTATTCTTCCTTTAATGTTCAGCTGCTCCTTGCTGTACTCCCAGTGTTGAATACACAGATGTTGTAATAAGATATTTAATGGCAAATGCATTTGGTTGTGCTGAATAAATTGCACACTTGAACTCTGACTATCATAAATCAAACCTCTGCAGCAGTGTCACTGTTTCTGGTGCCTGTCCCCAGGATTCAGCTGGCACTTTACCTTGCAGGTGAGTCAGATGAGAGCACAGGTGTCTCTCCCTGTAGTAGTCATGATGCTCATTGGTGCTGGGACTGACACAATTCTATATTTTGGTAATGTTTGTCTAAATGTGTTAGAATTTAAATCATTGGTGGCTGGCTCACTCCATATAGATTGCCATTAGGAGAAGGGTGACTGTAGTCTGTCCTGCAAGGGTTTTCTTGTTCATTCTTAGTACAGGAACTGATTTAGTCTGCTTTTGGAAATGTTTCAGTCTGGGGACAATTTGGTTCTTCCTCACTTGAATGCATACTTCATTTCAAATGCACTGGCCATTAAGGTAGTGGTAAGTATAGGTTGTAGTCTGGCTATTGAGGGAAAATTTCCAAACGTTTCTTTCTTGTTAAAATTTAGAGGACAAAGCTTCCCCTGAATGACCCCACAATCCCTGTCAAATCTGGAAGCTTTCCTTACTGCCTTGGTAACACAGCTTCAGCCCCTGTCACTGCTGTACCTGAGCTACGACAGACATCCACGTGGTGCTTATGGCATACAGCCTGTCCCTCTGAGCATTGCGGTCTCTTTCCAATTTTTAATGGAGAGAAGCATTTGAGCTTATCAGAGTGTTTGGCAGGTTTCTAAAATTAAGGTCGAACAAAATTCTGAGTGCTCATTTAGATTTAGTATAGTTGTAAAATGCCCCAGCATCTGCCCTGTCAGGTCCTGCCTGTATTTTCTTATCAGGCAAAGCTTTCCTTGACTGAAAAAACTGGAGACTTTGACATGAAAAACCCAAAAGGATTAAAAAAAAAACCCCAACCCTGTTTGTCTCCTTAGTGCCATGGTAGGAAGGCCATAGTATGTCTGTTCCCCTCTGCTCACAGGGCTTCTGTTGTCTGGTAGCAGAAGGATGTGCTTCTAGCAGTGCCATTACAGAACTGCCTACTTAGTCTCCTCAGCCCCTTCAGAAAAAGGGAGTTGAGTCTAGTGAATCTGATCCAAGTGGATGTGAACACTGCTGTAACCTGTGAAAAGGAAGGTAATGTGCCTTTGGAGATGCACCAGTGTGTGTGTCCCTTGACCATTGGCTGATCTTTGCTGTTGTCCTCTTGCAGCTCAGTACATCACAGGCTGCATTTGCAGCTTGCAGTGTTCCTGTGTGTGTCCCGCTGAGAGTTCGTGGATGTTTCCAGGGAGCTCTGCCTTGCACTGGACATGTCTGTGTGCCAAATGCTGTATATAGGGCCACTCTTTAATGGGTCCCAGACTTCAGGTTGCAGCCTGAGACCATCAGAGCAGGTGAGATGAGTGTGAAGCTGGAACAAACTCTCTTTAGTTTCTCTGCATGTTTGTGCACAGCAATTCAAAGTGCTCTCTGTAGGTGTGGGTGTGGGTGCTTGTTCCTAGCACTGAATATTGAAAGACCTTGGTGAGTTGAAAGCCTCCCTTTTGGAAGTCCCTGCCATGACACATTGACATAGTGTTTATTTGCTGGCTGGCTGTGTGCCTAGTTTAGATAGATGAACTAACTCAGAACCTTGTTGCTGGAGGCTCTAGCTATGGGTTATCTTGATGATGATGATGGGCAGTAAGGAACCTTTCAAGCAGCTGTGGTGTTTGAAATAGGACAGTATACCATATTGTCATGCTTCTCTTTTTGACTGTAGATATACTTCTGTCCTTGGGAGTGTTGCCTTCAGGAGCCTGTGTGGCCTTGCTGGAGGTGGTTTGCTTGGGTTTTTGTGGGGCTGGCACATAGGCTGTGAGCTGAGCAGCAGAATGTGGCATCTGACAGCTCTGCCCCTAGCTTCAGCTTGACATGATGAGAGACCACCTGACCCCTAAAGCATTAAGTGTGGGAACATCTCTGCAGTACTGCCCTTGCAAATATGCCAGACTTAAACTTTGTGGACCATAGCAAAGAGAGTATCTACTTTGAGTTCAACCCAGAAGCTTTTTATGAAAAGCTGTCTGACATATGCTATAAAGAGGGAGAAGATCTGTTGGTACATTTTTCTGCTTCTGTGAGTCAGATTGTTCTAATGGATTTTGAAGTGGATAGCTCATCATCATTTGGGGTTTTTAAGTGCAGGTTGTATGCAGTGTTAGCTCACTCAAATTTCTGCTGTGCCATCTTTGACTGGCCTAAAGTTACATCATCAGAATAGGCTAGTCAGCCCTGAAAGAGCAAGAAAATACGGTTTTTGATGCTAATTACTCATTGAAAACAGTGGTTTTGGGTTTTGTTTGGTTTTCTTTTAAATTTAAACAGCAAATAGCAGGTTTGTAAGGCTGGCTTTGTCTCATATCTGCAAGAATGTATTTCAGTTGATTAAATCAATGCATCAGTGAGCAACACGTGGCTCCTGAGCTACCTGCAGCGCAGGAGAAGTTTGCGTGTGGCTCCCATGCCGAGACCGTTCTGGGTAACCTGGAGTGTGGGCTGTGTTGGACTAGGGCCTGCAGATGATCCAAATTATTCAAGCAAGTGGGAGGAAGCAAATTAGCAGAGGCTAGTGTGGCTGGTACCACCTGATACCCAGCTGCATCCCAAGCCTGTGGTGGAGCAGAGTGATCCTTGTGAAGCAGTTGTTATACATATCCTTTAAACCTTTCTCTTCCTTTCCTGCTCCTTACGCAAAACTGTCCTTGTGATGCCTGGTGTGTGAGGATGGTTTGGTTGGCAAGGTTTGGAAGAATGGTTGGTGTGTTTATGTATACTTATTTTTGGAAATGTATATACATTTTGTGTATGCATATATGTGCATTATATATATATATTCATACTGTAGTAAACAGTTTGAGGCTTAAAGTCCTGTGAGCTCCTCTAAGGTCTCATTGCAGTTTAGTTGCACATGTGCAGACACCTCCTGGCATCAGGCAGGTAAATCAGTATAGTGCTGATGAGAAATGCATTCCTCATATTGTGTATGACAGAAGAGGTGGAAGCAACTAATCATTTCTTGCTTAGAAAAAGTACATGTGGGAGAACTTTCAGAGACCATTTTCAATATGTCAGAATTCCTTGCTGCTTTGCTGATTTGTAAACTTCATGTGAGTAATAAGTGCATGGGATGGAGCTGCACCAGGCACTGGGCCATGGAGAACTACGTTTGGAGTGCTGTGATCTTGGCTTTAGATTTAAATCTTCTCTGCTAGTGTAAATTGAGAAACTGAAGTCAGCAATTGCTTAACCAGTTGACTGTCTCCTTTAGTTAAACTTCTCTGAACTACTTCTACTGGCAGTAATGCAGATAAATAATGCAAATAGTGTTTGTTCTAGAAGAAAGATGCCATTTTGAAAGAAAAGGAAAGAAGAATAAGTTCTTTAGTAGAGATCTATTTGTGTTTTAAAAACTCAATTTATTCTCAATGAAATATTCAGGCTTGCATAACTAAAACAGTTTAAATTGAAACTTCAAAGTAAACTTGTTCTTAATCTTGTTAAGGAGGAAAACCAGTTCAAGATATAAACAAAATGACTAAATCAAAACTGTTCCAATGTACATTGGAACATCTTCTGCAGAACTTAACTGTGGGACAGTGTCTTTGCCTTCTTGTGATTACCAAACATGGTAGAGAGGCTTTAACTTCTCTGCTGGAGTGAAATAATCACACTCCTCTTGTGGTAGCTTACTTAATTCTTGTAATTTGGATGTAGTGCTTCCATGTGGCTCCAGTAAGTGTTCATTTACCTGCAGTCTGTGCTTGTGTACCACAGGAGCACACCAAAGCTCTTTGCACATATAAGAGTTGAACCTTGCAGGATTGCTTCAAGATTGCTATCTAAAGTTTGCCTTTCCTCATGAAGGTTTAAAAACAAACAAAAGCACACACAAAACCCCAGAAAAGAAGAAAGCCACCCTCCACCTGGGGCAGGCAGACAAGTTGGCAGAAGCTTTTCCTTTTCCAGCTGTGGCAAGAACAATTCCTTTTCTCCTTTGCCTGTTTTGAGTAGCATAGCCTGTCCCAGCATAAACTGTCCTTTACCACTTACCCTCCATGGAACAGAAATCTTTCTCCAGTTGTTTGCATCGCAATAGCAGATCATGTCTCTTTATTTTTCTAGCAGTCAGAAATGGATTGTGGTATTCATCTAAAGAAAACACAAACTCAGGATTCTGGTAGGAACAACGAGCAGCAAGAGGAGACCAATCTTGCAAATACCCTGGAGCATATTATAGGACAACTGGATGTTCTGACTCAGGTATGTTTTGGTCAAACATTTTGTAATGGCAAAGATACCTCTGACTGGAAGAATTGGGAATGTTTTGCATTAGTTTCATAGGATAAAAGTGTGACTAGTTCAAAACATGTGCTTTTTAGTAGTGTTTTGATAAATCTTTTGTCATCTGGTTCTCAGCTTCCCTCCATCAGTTCCCTCACACTGACTTCCAGCTTGGGCCTTGCACTTCCTCAGTTCCTTTATGCTGCAGTGTAGTAGATTTGCTGCTTGGGCCAGCTCTGGTACACTGTGCTATTAGCCAGGGTTTATCTAAGGGGATGCCTAAAGGAGTACTTGGCAGAACAACTCTTTTGGTGTATAATCACTGTCTCTTCCCTCCCTCAATACATTGTGTCTATAGGTAAACTGTTCAAATCCTGCTCCTGTCCCCCACCCATCATTCACCTACACAGTCCAATTTCTGCAGTATTCTCTCATCAAACAAGTCTGGGCCCTTCTGTGCCTCGTTGCTGGAACATGCTTTTCACCCACAGCTACAAACAGCTAATCCTTTGCTAAAACATTAACAGTTCTTTCTTGGAGTCACTAAGCAATGCTTGAACAGTACCAGCCGTCAGTGGTGATCATCACAGTGTGTGTTTACTTTGAAAGGATTTGGGGATAGAGCTGTTTTAGATTAACTAATAACTGCTCATTTCTCCTGTGAAGAAATACCATTTCTGATTATTGTCTGGCCCTGAATTTCATTGTGTATTTTTGAGGTATGTGAGAATCAGGCAGAAAGCACAGGATAGTAAACATTGGTGATCTCCTGTAGATGAGACCATGTTGTAGGATGGAAAAATCTGTGTGGGAGGGTTTTTCTGTGAGTTGAAATGTTGTTTCTGAGGAAGAACAAGCAGTTCTTGAACACTTGGTATTGAACATAGTGATTACCAGTCTGAGTTAGCTCTCTGCTCTTGAGAGAGTTAACTTGTCAAAGTACTTGTCAAAAAGTGTCAGATGATGGGTTGGAGGGGCCATCAGGGGATTGAAGGCTGGTTTAGGGATTAAAAAACATGCCACGACTACACAGTCTAAAATAGTGTAGGATGAAAACCAAAAGGTATTTAAGTTCACTTGGCAGAAGTGCAAGAAAGCACTTTTCCTGTGATCTTTAAAAGGCTGAACACTGGAGGAGGGGAGGGGAATCTTGTGACACTGGGCCCTCATCCTTGTGAGTAAAAAGCTGCCCAGTGTATACACAAAATATTTTATTACTGTTTTTACATCTCCCTAGTAAGCTTGGAATGTGATTGTTATCTTTCATTACGTAAATCAGATCCACATTTCTGATGATGGATGTGTCATGGCTCCTTTTCAACTTCATAGGTGTTTAGGGAAGGCAAATATTGCAGTAAACAGTACGTGTGGGATTTAACCTAAATATAAGCAGTGCAGATATCTCTGTCGAAGATATTGTGTAACAGTAGAAAATTCCAAATGTTGTTTTAAGCCAGCAGAAAGAGAAATTGAGATCAGTGGGGGAGGAATAAATTAGTAGGTTATAGGATAAAATTGGAAATAGCCCTGAAATAGTAAAAAACCAAAAAGCTGCCTTGAGTAACTCTGCATTCAGCAACCTTTTACCTTTTTGTAGCTTTTTTTGCCATCCTTGAATTATTTAATTTCCCACTGGTTCCCATCTGTGCATGTTGTATTTTATGTTAACACCATTTTAATGGATTTGTACAGGTAGATGCTCCTGACACACTTTTGAAATGGTTTCTTGATTTTCATGCCAAAGTTTCGATATTTAGCAGCAAAACAAACTAACACCAAATAAACTTAAGCAAATGAGCCTGGAAGGAGTCCTCATTCCTAGACTGAGGGAGGAGGTCCCTCAAAGAGGAGGCGTGTGGGCGGGTAGCAAGGCAGATGTGGAGGGCATTACATGTCTAAACTTTGGCTTTTCCACTGCTGATGGCCGGTAGCGGAGAAGGGAATGCAGTTGTGGCAGGGCCACTGTTACCCCTCTTCCATACAATTAGATTCCATACAATTAGATGTTGGGTGGTAGGAGCTGTGGTGTGCTGAGTGCTCACAGAGGTCCAAGTGAAATGGAAACAGCAGCTGGTGGTTTGGGGTTGGTTGTCTTCCCTAGGCATTTCTGCCAAGGCACAAACGGGCGCTGCTCCCTGTGCGTGGCAGGTTCAAACCAATGCGTGTTTCCTAGGGCAGCTTTGGGCCTGCTGACCTCTTTTTGTGAAGGGAGGACACAGCTACTTCTTCAAAAAGAACAAAAACCTTTCATAAATAGCACATAACAGGTGTCAATATTTTCCCTTCTTGGAGAAGGGCTGAGGGTGCTCCTAGTGTGTTAAAACGACAATTCCTGAATCTTGCTTGTTTAAAGAGAAGTCTAAGGGCATAAGCAGGGCCATGCAGTTGAAGGGAAAGGACAGAGTCCCTGTGGTATTTCCAGAAACTCTGTTGATATAGGCATCCATGGGTTTTCTGGGAATTTATAATTTGTTAGCTCCATGGGACCTTAGATATATTTCTGATGTGGTGCCTTGAGGTCCTGTGCTCTTTGTTATTGTAGTTTCCAACACTGTGTTACCATGGTATAATGTACCAGTGGGGGAAGGTTTAAAGTTGTGATAAACTAGTTTGAGAAATTATGCAAATACAAGCCTAATTTATTTTCCTAATATTTTTTCTGTAGCTGTCATTTCAAGGTTTAAACCTAGTATCATGTAAAAGTGGGAAGGAGAGAAAATACTTTGAATTTCTGCTGAAAGAGGTGATAGTAAGACATCAGCTGTGGGCTGTCATCTCCTGCCAGCTCACGGCTTTGTTCTGAGCTGCACACTTGAAGCTGCGTCATCTGCTGCTCACCTGTTAGTAGTACCTTTCCTCTGTTGACAATAGATTTCCAGATGAATGGTGGTGTCATGTACTTGGATACAGTGGGATTGGTTTTATTCAATTAAGAGGTCTCTTCCAGCCAGTCACCAGCCACTGATGCCATAGAGGTCTTTTGTCCCACACAACAGGATATACTGGAGCAGACTTGCTCCAACAGCAAAGCACTTCAGTTCTGAGCAGAGAGAAGGATCAGAAGAATCTAGTGGCTGGGACCAGCCACTATAGTGAATAGATTTACAAAGCCTCATTCTTGTGTTGTCAATTTTGTGATATGTTATTCTTTAAGGTTTTGGCAACTTTGTTTCAACTGGTTTTTGAGTCAATGAAACCTTCTTCTCTTCCTCCTCCCCAAAACTCTGTCAGAACATCTTTAGATTTGCTTGTAGGAAAGTGCTCTAATGTGACCTGACAGGGTCTTCATATTTTTTCCTAAAAGTGGTTTGTGTTTAGCCATACTACATAAACAAATAAAGTTGATGTTTGTCTTTTTCAGATGACTAGCACATACTTAATAATTCTGCTCCCTTGAAGGGTGGAGTTGAGGCCTGGACATAAGCCAGTTGTTCCTAGTAGTTCTGGATTACTTGGATACCCTGGTTCCCCTTTGTAAGAAAGCAAGCAATTCGATTCTGGAAAAGGAGTGGGGAAGATGAGAGTAATAAATGTATGATACAGATGTGTTGCTCCTCCTTTTTCTGCAGCTTAGTTATCTTGTCAGTGTCTCAGTGTTTAAAAATCCTTTACTGGCATTTCAGAGATGTGAAAAGGGGGAAAGTGCAAACTGTTTATCTTTTTATGTTATTATTATTGAAGGCTGGATCTCAGGATCTCAGTGCCTATATGAAGAGGAGGGATGAATATTAAAGTTTAAGGGGAAAATGAGGTGATTTTGTCTCTTGGATAACTTCCTGGAACAGAATGGTGTGTTTTGGCTGAAACAAAAAATGAAGCAGATATTAAAGGTTTACTTGGTTCAAATGCATTTTCTGCACTTACAGCTGAACTGCATTTCTCAGAGAAGGTCATCTGTGAGTAACCATCTTGGCTGCACTGGAAAACTTGCATTTGCAATGATCATCTTCAAAGAGTTTATATACTCTTGTCCTCACTCCAAACACCTCCAGCTGCTGTGCTCACTCTGTTAATCTGTAGTGCTGGTGGGCAGCAGGCACTGAAGCAAAAGCTGCTGGTTTTATGTGGGAAGGAAGATGTCTTCTGCAAAGGAAGAGTTCAGAATCAGGTTAGCATAAAAATTCATAAATAGCTGCGATAATCCACCCACAGGAAACGGCTTTATATGCTTCCCCAAACTAATCTTGCATTGAAGCTGGGAGAAAACAACACAGTGAAATGGAGAAGACTTGATAAATCTGTAAAGTAATCCAGTCCTGAATTGAAGGACAATCTCGCTCTTGTGAGATTAAAGGATTATTTCACTCCAGAAAAGATTGAAGGTAGAGGGAGGGAAAAGAATTCTTTTAATGAAATTTTTTAGCATTAAAAAAAAGACTTGGACACAATTGAGTTCCTTTTTAATTAAAACTGGCAATGTTTGTGTGTGCGGTGCTTATAATGAAAATGAGTAAAATCAGGTTGTTTTTTCCTTTGTTTCAGATGTGGTCTCAAATGCCTGTGTTGGTGAGGAATGAATGTGGCCCCTCTTTTCTGAGAGGCACTGAATGTAAATTAAGCAGCTGGTTTGGTAAAATAAATGCCTTTATGACCTCAAGTAGTTTCAAGTCAAGAAGAAAGATTTAGAGGTTGGGAACTGTCATAAGTGCTTCTACCGTTGCTTATCACAAATGCCTTGGTTTCTATGTTGCTCTCAAGACCTGAACACCCACTTGCAGACTCAATACACAGGAGAAAAATTGCAAGTAGTTTCTATTCCAAAAGAAATTATTTGAAACTGAAACACTAATGAAAAAAGTTCCCATCTGAAAAATCTATGAAATGTCAGATGAGCTTGGTTTTTAAATCTCTATTTAGAGGACATAGCGGCTATTTCTTGTGAGTCAGACCCGTCTCTGGGAGATTCGGTAGCTTTGATCTCTCACTCAAAACAAGTGCACTACCCTGGTTGCTGCCAGGCCTCTGTGTAATTCAGCAGA